CCAGTTCCCATCTGGGGTCTCAGGTCCAGGTTGGTGTATTGTAAGAGGGCCTTTGTAAGGCAGTCTAGGAGTTGAGGTGGGTTTTCATGACTTTCCTGGGTGATCATTGGACTTTTTCATAATTTACTGCCTTAAGGCCAGTCTTGTGGAGACCAGCCAGGAGCAAGTTAAAAACCTATTCCTAGCTAGGATGCCCCCTGGGGTATTGTAATCCCATTTAGGGTCCTGGTCAGGGACTGCCCTAGCCTCAAAGGGTAGGTGTCATCAGTTTGGTGCAGTTTATCTGCGTGGCCCTACCACGGTCTCAGATGCACCTGTGCTTGCTCCTCTGGGAGAGATCGTTGGTGAGAATCATATAAACATCATGAAAGGTGAGGGTATAAGATTGGGTAATTATTGGGTACCTAATTGGTTTTAATAAAGCAAGGCCTTATATGTGATAGTTGAGTGCTCTGCTTTACTGCCGCATACTCAGCCCTGACTGGGTGGGCGGTCAGCCACTGAGGAGGGAGAAAGGAAAACCAGAGAGGCTAGAGAGAAAGAGGAAGGACTACTAGTTGAAGCTGATAAGAGGGAGGTTTGCTAGTGTGGTAGAAAACAGTGAAGAAATCTTCCTAGCTGAGAGTTGTTTCCTCCTTGGTTGGTTTATCCCAAAATAACATCACACCACATAGTTCCTTTAAGATTACTTAAATATAGACTTTTAACTATCAACCCCAGTGTTACAGATTTTTCAGATTTGTAACCTTACCCAATATACTTATATTTGGTGTTGTGACTCAGATAAGCTCCCCTGGTGCCTATGCTTCCCCTCACGGTCTGAGCCACCCTGGGATACCCACAGACTCATCTTCCGACTTACTGATGGCTCAGCACCCTATCTTCCAGTGGAATCCGTTAACCTTCCCCTTTGGTTGGTGTAAACGTTTCCCTGAGTCCAAAGAAGTGGCTGTTGAGTGTCTGACACCCCTCTGGTATTCTTGGAGGCAGAGGTACCCCCAATCATGGTCTTTAAGGCTGTTGCTTGTCTCTTCACTTGACTCCATCCCACCACTCTCTGAACTGCAATTCTGCAGTTTCTTTAGACCCAACTAGGCTATTGTGCCTCTTCCTGCCCTCTTCTCCCATCTTCTCTCTGGAGCTGCCTGGAATTCCACAGTTCCTCTATGCCCTTGTGGCTTTTTCAACCTCGTTCCTAACTCTTTCCCATGGGTAAGGTCTCTCTTTCCCCTTAGAGCTCAGTTTTCGTCTTCATCTTCTAGCCTCTACAGAAGCCCTGGTACCAGGTGCCAAGTCTCTCCTCTGGCTTAGCCAGGCTAAGCAAGCCCCATTGAGTGTGTTGACAGCCTACTGATGGCTTGGTCCTCGTTTGGTCCTCCCTGAGTCCTGGGGACACCCATGACTACAGGATGCAGTAACATTTTCCCTCTTCTCTCTCATCCATGGGAATGGTGTCTCCCACACCCTCTCATTTCCCCTTGGGATGCTCTTAGAAAACATCCAGCCTCTACACCTTGCACCTGACATGAAGGGCCCTAAACTTACTCACTTTTGCAATCAAATTTGGCCTCAATATCCCTTATAACTAATCTGAATGGCTGCCTAACAGCATCCTAGGTCCTAATTTTATTTGGGATCTTTACAAATACTGTGAACAATCAGGGAAATGGAGATTCCCCTTTCCCTACATTCAGGCTTTCTCTTTTTTCCACTCCAAGCCCACTTTGACTTTTGGCTGATCTCTCCCACTCTCCCACTGTGTGAATGGCTGGTCTTTTCAGTTACCATTGATGGATCTGTAAACCTATTGTAAAGTGGGAGCTGGAAGCCAGGCCCAATGCGGGAGAAAGCAGAGGAGTAGGCAGCTATAGTACACGTGTACCTGGCACACACTCCTCCCTGGCTAGTGCATCCCTCGGCTCCTTTCTGCAGTGTTCTCTGTTGTGTCTAGGGCTCAAAAATTTCCTGTCTTTAAGTCTTTGTTCTTAGCTTGCTGGATTCAGTTTTACAGGGATTCGGGTGTGTTTTAGATATGAATGGTATTATAATGTTTTATGCTGTTCAACTTAAATTAAAAGCCGGCTCTGGAGTTGGGGTATGGCTCCTCCTCTAGACCTAAGCATGCTTGTTTAAAAGGTTTTCTCCAAAATCTCTGTCCCATATCAGGGAAGCCACCCACTACGTGACAGAGAAAGGAGAACAAGACAAAATAAAGGAACAGATTATTCGCAATGGGCACTAATGATTGTTGCTCATTTTGTATGCTTTTGGTTTTGCTCCAGCTCTCCAAAATATTTGCTAAGGTACAAATCTTACCTCAAGAGGGACCATGTCTCAAAAACAAGCAAAGAACCAAACAACAAAAACCTGAAGTATTGCCAGGTGGTGGTGGTTGTAGAAAGGAGCTGCGTGCTGTGTTCCTGCCACCCAGCTCCTGGCCGCCTGGCTAGCTTATGCCCCAAAATAACGACACACAAAATGTATTCATATAAACACTGCTTGGCCCACTTCTATTAATGTGTGTAGCACCACGAGGTGCGCTTACCAGGAAGATTCTAGCCTACGTCCATCCTGGGTCAGAGCTTCATCACGTTTGCCCTGGAGAGGAGCTGCATGGCGTCTGAGCTCACTTCCTCTTCCTCCCAGCATTCTGTTCTGTTTACTCCACCCACCTATGTTTTAACCTATCAGACCAACAGTTTCCTTATTAATTAACCAATGACCTTCCTCCATCAGTGGTGGTGACAGCACACCTTTAATCCTAGCACTCGGGAGGCAGAGACAGGCGGATCTCTGTGAGTTCGAGACCAGCCTGGTGACAGGCAGTTATAAAACCAAAGTATCTTGAGTGAATAAACTGTGGATAAAGCAAATACCAGAATTTGAAGGGAAAGAAAAGCCACTTAAGTTTTTGATACTTCTGTATCATTTGTGCAATATGGTAGCATTCACCCCAAACAATTTCTTGTCTCCCCAGCCCTTGGACCCTTTCTTATACTAACTTGGCATCATTGTCCCCTGTGATGGTAAGGTGCTCCCTGTGCTCCTAAGTAACAGCACAGGTTCTTCTAGGTGAAAGGGCAGTTGTCCATCCCAGGGTTGTGTCTCATCCCCAGGACATCCCCAGGACAGGTGCTCTGTCCTTCCCAGAGAGATGTAGGAAGACTACCCACTTGTATGTTCAGTGTATGATACCATTCCCCAGTGAAAGAAGCTTCCAGTTCCAAAACATAGCTGCCAAAAAGCTACTGGAAACAGATGACCAGCTGCCATAATTCTGCTTTGATGATGACGTCTGAAGCTCCTGTTACCACTGAAGGCCATGTAGACGCTTGAGGTCTGGGATCATGTTGGTATCTAACGGCCACACTGTCACCAGGGCAATGCAGGGGACATCCAGACCCAGCTGCTGCCAAGGACCATGTCTGGGTCCATGGTCCTGCCGAGGCTGGGGTCTGTGCTTGGGTTCAAGCACTGAGACAGGGAAGGAGGTGTCAGCAGGACAAAGTGAATTGTCTGACCACCAGATGAGTTTCACACAAGTGGCCGGACGCAAATAGTTCCAGCCATCTTTATACATCAGAAACAAGCATGTTTTTCCATACTAACAAATATGTTTTTCCATCCTCCAGTGTTAACCTCTGGCAAAAACAAATATGTCAAATATGTTTTCTCCCAACTTTTACATCAAAACATCTTTTTTTTTTTTTTTTTTTTTTGTTTTTCAAGACAGGGTTTCCCTGTAGCTTTGGAGCCTGTCCTGGAACTAGCTCTTGTAGACCAGGCTGGCCTCAAACTCACAAAGATCCGCCTGCCTCTGCCTCCCAAGTGCTGGGATTAAAGGCGTGCGCCACCACCGCCTGGCTACATCAAGACATCTTTAAACCAAAAACACTTATCATTTTGCTAATGTGGCCATATATCAAGCCAGGTTCATCCTGTCCTTACAAAACTAAAAGGTGATTGGCATAGACACACATTTTCAAGAACAACAATCCCTTTCAAAACATATTTACAGGAATGATTTGCCTTGATCTTGTCAACACTGTATTAGAACAGCTCCTGGGGTCTGAAGTGACAGCTGGCATCCCCAGACAAGAAACCTGAGAAGCATCAGCTCCCAAAGAATTTTAGGGGAAAATATTAGAGAAAAAAATGAGGTTTCTAAGAATGATAATATCTGTCTCATGCATGATTGACAAAATGACACTAAAACCACCAAGAGAATCATCAATATTAGGAGAGAGAAGAGAGCATGCAAGCTGGGTGGTCCCAGCAGTATTCTCCACTGTCCGGAAGTTCACTGGTCCTTGCCTAGTGAGACTGTCCCCATGGGCTTTTGCCTCATCTGGAGACCCGCTGGACAAGTACTCATTTACTAGTCTGAAACTAGGCTGCACGGCTCCCAATGGCGTACACCTTTAATATATATTATTACATATATACACACATATATATTGGCTAGATTTATTTATCTTACATCCCAACTGCAGTTTCCCCTCCCTTCTCTCCTATTTCCTCCCACCACCTCCCCTTCTTTATATATTTTTATATAATATATAAATATGAGGGATGAAGACTATAGGCTAGGTTGTTTAACCTAACTTTTTATTTTGGGTGAGAAAATAGCTTTGTCTACTGATGGACATTGTTTTTGGTCTGGGTACGTTAACTGTTGTATCTAGATTTCTGTCTAAAACCTCAAGCCCATTATGATCTCAGAAGTGCTTTAGACGTCTTGCCCAGGAACAGGGCTGATATCTACCTGCCATTTGCTGTCTGAGTGGGTTGTGACCTCATACCTCCTTAGCACATTTGTGCTGCAGGGCCTGTCCTGTCCCCTGTGGTGAGGGGCTCTACTGTTGTCTCCACTCTGTTCTAGCTTGGCAGCCTGTGTGCTGGGTAGATGCTGACCCTTTACATGAACTCTGCTACCTTTTACCTGGATCCCTTTCATGGCAGATGTGTTTCATGTAACTGTTCTCTTCTTCCCCCCACAGAGTCTATAGAAGACGCAGCCGCAAGACTCCCAGATGAACAACCGGAAGGAAGATATGGAAATCACTTCTCACTACCGGCATCTGCTTCGAGAGCTGAACGAGCAGAGGCAGCACGGAGTCCTGTGTGATGTGTGTGTTGTGGTGGAGGGCAAGGTCTTCAAGGCACACAAGAACGTCTTGCTTGGGAGCAGCCGCTACTTCAAGACACTCTATTGCCAGGTACAGAAGACATCTGACCAGGCCACCGTCACTCACCTGGACATTGTCACAGCCCAAGGCTTCAAGGCCATCATTGACTTCATGTACTCCGCTCACCTGGCGCTCACCAGCAGGAATGTCATTGAGGTGATGTCAGCTGCTAGCTTCCTGCAGATGACTGACATCGTGCAGGCCTGCCATGACTTCATCAAAGCTGCACTGGACATCAGCATCAAGTCAGATGCCTCAGACGAACTCTCTGAGTTTGAGATTGGCACCCCAGCCAGCAGCAGCACAGAGGCGCTGATCTCAGCTGTGATGGCTGGGAGGAGCATATCCCCATGGCTGGCTCGGAGGACAAGCCCCGCCAATTCTTCTGGAGACTCTGCCATTGCCAGCTGTCATGAAGGAGGAAGCAGCTATGGGAAGGAGGACCAGGAACCTAAGGTTGATGGCCCTGATGACATTTCTTCACAGGCGTTGTGGCCTGGAGATGTAGGCTATGGGTCTCTACGGATCAAGGAAGAACAGGTTTCACCATCGCATTATGGAGGCAGTGAGCTTCCATCCTCCAAGGACACTGCCATACAGAACTCCTTATCAGAACAGGGTGCTGGGGATGGCTGGCAGCTCACAGGCCGGAGGAAGAATCGGAAAAACAAAGAAACTGTCCGACATATCACGCAGCAGGTGGAAGAGGACAGCCGGGCTGGCTCCCCGGTTCCCTCATTCCTGCCCACTTCAGGATGGCCTTTCAGCAGCCGAGATTCAAGTAAGCCTTTCTTGTGACAGGCTGGGCGCAGGGGGCCCAGGTCACTGTGTTGGCTGCTTCCTGGCTGTCGGTGAAGTGGCACACTCCCATGCTCACACTAACGGCTTCCTATGCCCACCTGTCACTGGCGGCTCACACTGCCTACAGCTCCGGCTTCAGAGAGGTCTGAATCTCTGGCCTCCGTGACCTCCTGCACTCACATGCACATACCAGCACCCACATACTTAAATTTTTAAAACTTTTAAATTTTACTTTTTTAAAAATTATTAACTACATGCATATGAGGTAGAGTAGGGATTACATGGGCACATGACTCTGAGTACCCACAGAGGCTCTGGCTTCTGAGCAGATGTAAGCTTCCCGATGTGTATGTTGGGAGTCAAACTTGGGTCCTCTGAAAGAACAGTATATGCTTAACTTAACTACTGAGCCATCTCTTCAGCCCCCTTTGCCTTGTGAACATTTTTAACGGAGCAGCTCACTGACATTAAATATATTCATGTTGTACTACTACCCATCTCCAGAACTTAAAATAATTTTTATTTTATTTTATATGAATGTTTTGCCTGCACTTATGTATGTGTGTCGTGTGTGTGCTTGGTGCCAGTGGAGGTCAGCAGAGGGTACCATATATACACTGGGACTGGAGTTACTGATTGTTGTGAGCTGTCTGTCACAGGAGTACTGAGAATTAAACCTGAGTCCTCTATAAGAGCAACAAGTGCTCTTAACCTCTGAACCATCTCTCGCCACACACTTCAATTTTATTTTTAAAGTTCTCATTGCCCTCTTTCCAACACCGAGCCACCAAGCACGGAGCCAGAGCTTGGATATTTCTAAAAGTTGGTTTCACTTAGCATTGCTGCACGTTGGGCTGAATCATTCTCTGTGCCCGTGTCCTGGGGGCAGGAGTCTATACCCCACAAGGTATCAGAGGCATTTGACACAGTTGTGACAGCCACAAATATCTTCTGACATTGATACGTGTCTCCCTAGGGATGGACTGAACTGAATCAGAAGAGTATCAGTCATTTCATGTGGAGAGGCTCCCAGGCAATGGACATGCATAGTGATGTCCGCCTCCTGGATTTGCTTACAATCTTTTGTCAGTTCTGACCCAAACCTGATGAATGCTGAGACTTGGGGGCACGTTTTGGGGTTCACAGATATTGGGGGCCGTCCTCCACTTGTCTCAGAATATATATGTGTGCTCAGTCACTTTCCCTGCAGCTGACGATGCTGGGGGCGTGTAGTCCACGGGAGTCAATGGTAAATTAGTAAGTGGAACAATCCTAGAGCCTGTGGGCTGGAGGTTTCAAATGCAGTCAGCGAGCAGAAGGTGTTTTCAGAATCCAACAAGTGATTTTGGCTGTATACTTTCTTAGTCTTAAATCCTTGGGTTGCCAAGGCAACTGTGAACTGCTTTTGCTTGGGGATTCTGAAGGCTGCGATAAGGATGAGAGGTGTAGGCTGGAGCGTGGGATGCTTCCTGCATGTCATGGTAGTGTGTCATTCGTTGGGCCTCTGCCACCCTGGCAGAAACATAAATCACGACACTTGATGGAGGTCAGTTTGTTTTCATTAAAGATTGATATATTATTTATAGGAGAAAGGGCTCTCTCTCTTTTTTTTTTTTTTTGAGACAGGGTTTCTCTGTAGCTTTGGAGCCTGTAGACCAGCTGGCCTCTAACTCACAGAGATCCGAAAAACGTTGTCTTTTTTTTTTTTTAGATTTATTTATTTATTATAAACAGTGTTTAGCCTGCATGTATGCCTTTAGGCCAGAAGAGGGCGTCATATATCATTACAGACGGCTGTGAGCCACCATGTGGTTGTTGGGAATTGAACTCAGGACATCTGGAAGAGCAGCCAGTGCTCTTAACCTCTGAGCCATCTCTCCAGCCCTGAAAAGGCTTTTTTTCTAAAGACACATGCCTGTTGCCGTCAGGGCTTCCTGAGCAGTTCCTCAGAAGTGAAACCTGCTGGTCCTGGCCACTGGTCTTGGCCTCTCTGTGTCTCCATCTCAGCTCCTGTGATTTTCGAAACGAAAGGTCAAATGCATTACAACCCAGCAGGTCTGGAAAACAGGTTTTAAAATTGACTGGTGAGACGGTATATAAATAATAAGCGCATCGGTTGTGCGTGTCCATGTGATGACTTAGGCGAGCCTTTTGGCTGGGGACTCAGCATCTTTCAGGGGCATCCTAGGCTGGAGCCTCCCCTGATGGATCTGCAGAAGGTCAGTGATGAGTCTCAGGGTGGTTGTGATGCTGCTATGAGGTGAAATAGTGTCTCTCTCGCTTAGGAATGGTGGAGAAACAGTCAAGGGCCCCAGCTACACTCATTCCTAAATATTCCACAAGCATCAAATGTGAAGCTATTTTAAAGTTGAAGGTTTGTTGAGTTAGTGTTCTGGACTTGGGGAACATTGAACCCCCACATGTTGGAATTGCTAAGGACACATCAGGGTCTCAGTGCGGTCCCAGCTGAAGATGGGGAGTCTGGGATTCGGTGTTGACCACACTCTATGGCGCCTCCCTGCGTGGGGATGGATAGCATGGACTTTCAGGATGAGTCTCTTCATTCCTCTCTAGATCAGATGCAGCCTATATTTCTCTTCCCTGGCATCCCTGGCAGTGAGTGGAAACCAGAGTTAGGGGTTCAAAGCCTCATAGTCTGTCATAGCCATCCTGGTCCACATAGCATAGTTGGGAGGACTTAGAGGAACTAAAAGCCATGTGAGCTTATCCCTTGCCCGTGTACTGGTGTCATGGTCTGTCGTGTCTGTGAAGAGCATTGCAAGCATTTAGTCCTGGTGCAGCCCGGACTTGACATCTGGTACACTGTTGATAAGGCCACCTTTTCATGACGTCATTTAGACAGCATAACATAACAAATTTGATCATCTTTTTCTTTAAAATCCTTCTCTCCGACAGTACATCCTGATCACCGTTTCCCCTCAGAACTGACCATCTCTGTAAAGAAAATCTTCTGCTATCGTGGGTGCGTGGAGGGAAAAGGGGGCACCATCTGCCTCAGCTCCCCACACCCCACATTCCATAGCACTGCCTGCTCTGTTCTTCATCTCGCCTGTGTGGTTTTCCTCCCAGATACGACTGACAGCACCTCCTGGAAGCAGGTCTGGTTGGACTGTGTTACAGTGTTTAGAGTGGCAGCTGGTGACCAGACAGGCGAAACTGCTCTCTTTTGGATGGGTCTGTTTAAATGAGAAAACCTGGCGCTGAAGTGCACACCTTCCTCTCAGTTGTGGGAAGGACAATGCTGATGTCATAAAATAGCGGAGGAGGCAAGAACAGGAGGCAAGAACAAGCACAGGTCAGAAACCTGTTACAGGAAGAGGCGTCCCGGCATTCAGCAGTGCTTGACAGGCTGAATCCAGGTTCTGGTAGACCCAGTGTGTACAGAGTGGCTTTTCATCTTGAGGGGGAGGGGCCGGCTGGTCTCAGGACCATGACTTTCCCTTTTGCACCTCTGAGCAGTAGCTTGCCAGGGTCTCATTGTCCATCCCTCTTTAGGCTGAGCTGCAGTGGAAATGCTTTGTATTGTCGTGGTGTTTTTAAAAACAGAATTCACAGAGGGTTAACTTGAAAGGTTCCTGTGTACATAGACTAGCCTAAACATCCTTTGAGATGAGGACACTAGGTGACTAGTCACCATGGGTACCTGGCAGAGTTAATGGTACATGGTCCCCACCAGAACAGTCCAGTGCCTCCTGGGCTGAGGGGTGTGTCACCTGGGCTGAGGAATGAACAGACAGCTGTGTAGAGGGATTTGCTTCTGGGAACCCAGCAAGTCACATGTTGAGATGACTGTAGGCAGAGCACTGATACCCCCAGACTCTGCAGGAATCTTTCTGGTCTGTTGCAAAGAAGACAGGATGCCAAGTTGGTGGGACAGTCACCTGAAATTGAGTAGCTCTTGTCTGTGGTAATATTTCTTGTTTGTTTTGCTTTGTTTCACAAGGCTATCTCACGGTGTAGCCCACGCTGGCGTTGAATTTATGGCTTTCCTGCCTCTACATCTCAAGAGCTGGGATTGAAGGCATGAGTTTATGGTGGTGTTTCCTGTTGTTTCCCACTGTACTGTAAAAAAACAACAACAAAACCCTATTTATTTTTATTTTATGTGCATTGGTGTTTTGTCTGCATGTATGTCTGTCTGAGGGTGTTGGATCTGCTGGGACTAAAGTTACAGACAGTTGTGAGCTGCCATGTGAGTGCTGGATTTGAACCTGGAACCTTTGGAAGTACAGCCCATGCAGTTAGCTGCTGAGCCGTCTCTTTAGCCCCTCAGCCAGCATTCTTGACACTGAGCCATCTTTTCTGCCCCTAGATTACATAGCCTAGACTGGTCTTGAACTTGGTAGTAGCCGAAGATGACCTTGAGCTCCTGTGACCCGAGGACAGGTATTCACAACCACACCAAAGTGTCACTGCAACTTGAACTGATCCTCCTGCCTCAGCCTCCTGAATGCTGTGATTACAGACTTGAACCCACTCTATTTGTTATGGTTTCATGTGCTTATTTGAAAGCTTTTATGCCAGGGCTTTCTTTTTTGTTTTGTTTTTGTTTATATTTTTTCAAGACAGGGTTTCTCTGTAGCTTTGGAGCCTGTCCCAGAACTAGCGCTTGTAGACCAGACTGAGACCAGACTGGCCTTGAACTCACAGAGATCCCTCTGCCTGCCTCAGCCTCCCTAGTGGTGGGATTAAAGGTGTGCACCAACCAATGCTTGGCACTTCAAGGATTTTAAGGCCTAGACTGTGGTTCAGTGGCAGAGGTCCTAGAGTTGATCCTTACTACCACAAGATGAAATAAAATCACAAAAGATAATGCAAGTCATTTTAAAAACTGAGTGTCTGTAAGCTGGAGAGATGGCTCAGTGTTTAAAAGGACTTTTTGCTCTTGAAGAAGACCCAGGATTTGTTCCCAGCACCCATAGGTGGTTCACAACTGCCTGTGCCTCCTGTTCCATGGCATAAAATACCCTCTTTTGTCCTACACCCTGCACAGGTACTGAATGCACATAATGTCCTTACATGCAGGCAAAACCCACACCATAAAATAACCAGTATCCTAAAATAAAAGTAAATAAATCTGAGGAGGGCTGGAGAGATGGCTCAGAGATTAAGAGCACTGGCTGACTAAGATCCTTAGTTCAACTCCCAGAAACCACACAGTGGCTCATGACCATCTGTTATTACAGATCTGGTGCCCTCTTCTGGCCTGCAGGCATACATGCAGACAGAACACTGTATACATAATAAATAAATCTTTTTTAAGAAATCTGAGGAGTCAAACATTGTTGGATGAACTCTTCAAGAAGAGTTGTGAACAAATAGGACGTCAAGAGCAGGCTACGTAACCATTCTATCAAAGCCCAGCTTGGTGAACCAGTGACTTTATTGGCTTTACCTATACAGCATGGGTGACCCGGAAGAGTCACGGCACCAAAACTTCCCATTGCAGCGTGGGTAATGGTCGCAGAGATGGAGTCCCCTGTTGAGGTAACCTTTCACACACTGTGTGTACTATCATTCCTTGAGGCCACAAGACCACATAAAGAATTACAATTGTCTGACAGACAGGGGCAAAAAGGAGTGGCTGAGATATCAAACGGGAATCCGATGACCCTCCTTAGCACTGTCTCCTATGATGTTTTCTCTCCAGTCTGTTCCCCTGGGGAAGAGGGTTAGCTCAGATCATATGTGCTATTTCCCCCTTTACTTTTCTCATGTAACGAGCAACAGATTTCCTTGCTCGGTCACCTCAGCTTGTCTAACCAGAATGCCTTGGGCCTGTGACCCTTCCGCAGATGCCGCATGATTCGTGTTTTCAGCTATGACAAGGCTTCAGGTTCTCCTCAGTGGTGCTCGTTGCTTTCTGTTGGTTTGATAAGTGCTGTTCTCACAGGTGTGAAATTGTATCTCACTGTGGTTTTGTTTCTCTTACAGTGCTGGGGATTGAACGCAGGGCCTTGGGGATGCTAGGCAAGCACTTATCGCAGTCAGGGCTGACTTTTTTTTTTTTTTTTTTTTTTTTAATTTTTAGAGACAGGGTTTCTCTGTGGTTTTGGAGCCTGTCCTGGAACTAGCTCTTGTAGACCAGGCTGGTCTTGAACTCACAGAGATCCGCCTGCCTCTGCCTCCCGAGTGCTGGGATTAAAGGTGTGCACCACCACCGCCCAGCTAGGGCTGACTTTTTACATAAATGCAGGGGATTCAAACTCAGAACCACATACTTTAATGGCAAGTGTTCTTAGCCCGCTGAGCCATTCCCCCAGCCCCTATGTTTTTGATTTGCATTTCTCTTGACAAAGATGTTTGAATATCTTTTTGTGAGATTATTAGCATTCTGTGTCTTTAGATAACTGTCTAATCAGATCTGCTTTATTTACCTTTATTATGGAATTAAAGAGATTTTAGAGTCTGTTATGTGTCTTATCAGTTAATTTTGGAATGGGATATGTTCAGTGGTGGACTGCTTACTAGTATGTGTAGGTTCTAGGTTCAGTTCCCAATACCATGTACATAAGGCCTGGTGGCACACACCTGTAATGCCAGGACTTAAGAGGTGGAGACTGGGAGGACCAGGAGCTCAAGGTCATCCCTGGCTACAAAGAGCTAGCGGAGAACATGGGTTCAGGAGACACTGTCTCATAATGTATGTAGGTGACTTGTACATACCTCTCCGTTCTGTTGGTTGCCATTGGAGCATGTCAGCTTTTATTTGTTTGTTTTGTATTTTGTTTTATTTTTGAGGCAGAGCTTCATATCGCCTAGGCTGGTCTCAGACTCTCTGTGTAGTTGAGAGTCACCTTGAGCTCCCTGTCCTCTTGCTCTTTCTCCTAAGTGTTGGAACTGCAGGCAGGCACCATCATACCTGGCACAAAGTTTTAATTTTGATGAACTCCAATCTTTATTTCATTACTAGTGCTTTCGGTGTCTGACAACCCATTGCCAAATCTGAGGTCATGTAGATATTCTTCTTCTATGAGTTTTATAGTTTTTGGTCATTGGTGCGTGTTGAGTGCCCTGTTATTTGAGGAGATCGTGTAGCTCCGGAGCTGGGTCTCGGCTCAGGTCTTAGATCCCTTATGAAGGGTTAGTGGCCTTGTACCTTGGTTCTGAGTGAAACTCCCATTAGATTGTAAATTTTGCTGTGCTGTCTGGCATGTTATGGATATGGGCAGGTGGGATTAGTAGTACAATATTCTAAGGGTACAGTTTTGATGTGGGAGTGTCATATATCAATCTGTTGATTTCATTGGTTAAGCAATAAAGAAACTGCTTGGCCCTGATAGGTAAAAACATAGGTGGGAGGAGTAAACAGAACAGAATGCTGGGAGGAAGAGGAAGTGAGCTCAGACTTGACAGCTCTGCTCTGTGGAGCAGAGACGCCATGCTCCCATCTCCTGAGAGATGCAATAGCTCTGTTCTCTGGGGCACATGCGATGAAGTTCCGACCCAGGATGGACGTAGGCTAGAATCTTCCTGGTAAGCGCACCTTGGGGTGCTTACACAGATGATTAGAAATGGGCTAAATTAATATGTGAGAATTAGCCAGTAAGGGCTAGAGCTAGTGGGCCAAGCAGTGTTTAAATGAATACAGTTTGTGTGTTGTTATTTCGGGCATAAGCTAGCAGGCGGCTGGGGTGCTGGGGACGCAGCCCCGCTGCTCATATTACTACACAGTTTGGTCTGGGTGGGTACTGGTTGACAAGCTGGACTAGACTGAAGCTCATTCATTGCCTTTATCCTCCTAATGGTCTTTATTTTGCAGTCGCAGTATCTCCAAATGACGCGTGTGTACCTCCCTTCCCTAGATGTGGACCTGACTGTCACTGAGGCCAGCAGCTCAGACAGCAGAGGTGAGAGAGCAGAGCTGTACGCACACATCGACGAGGGCCTCCTGGGAGGAGAAACCAGCTACTTGGGCCCACCCCTCACCCCAGAGAAGGAGGAAGCGCTGCACCAGGCCACTGCAGTGGCCAACCTTCGCGCCGCCCTCATGAGTAAGAACAGTCTGCTGTCACTGAAGGCTGACGTGCTTGGTGATGACGGCTCGCTTCTGTTCGAGTACCTGCCCAAAGGTGCCCACTCACTGTCTCGTAAGTGCAACCCTGGTGTGTCGCTGTGTCCTGCTTTGGTTTTAAGCACCTCATTTCAACTCTCAGACCCAGGGTTACTGAGGATGAGATTATAGGTGGTTTGTCAGGCATATCGGCTGGGGGTTGAGCTACTTTCCAGCTACCTCAAGGTCTTTCACGAGGTAGACTGGCTTTGAGTCCTCTGGGACCATGATGCTTGGTATGTGTCGTTGGATATCCAGAGGAAGCAGCGAGTGCGTATTGAAATGTTTTGTGCTCAAACTCGAAGGATCTTAGCCTATAACCCACCAAACTTAAAAGTGCACACAATTAGTGAACTTAAAACCACAAGCCCTTTTGAGCCAGTGGCAGGCCTGGTGCTAGAGAGTCTTTGTGTCTAGGGAACAGGTGCTGGCTCCCTCTGCTGGTCCCGCCACCCAGCCTTTGTGCTGGGATTTGTTCTGTGTATGAGACACACAGAGAGCCGCTGACCCAGGGATGTGGAGCTTGCTTTGTTCTTGTTAGAGAGTGCTGGTCACGTGTGTATTTTCAGAGAGGAGTTGGATGTGCATTTGAGACCTTAGTGTGTCTTGCTGCAATCCAGACCATAGACCAACTGGCCATGTTGTAGCTGAAGGGCAGCTGCTGTCCAGCCCTGACTCCTTCAAGCTGCCTTTTCCTGTGAGACAAGAGGCATGAACATCTTCAGAGCTCATAGCCCTAAGACAGGCTGCTTCCCTTGTCCCAGTACAGGCTGACTATAGCAGCCTTCTGTTCAGGGAGAAAGGTGTGACTGCCCTGGGCATCAGCCTAGCTCCAGAACTTCCTGTGTCTCTGGTGCTCAGCCACGAGTGTGAGAAAATGACTTGATACCTTTGTCTCTGTGGGGAAGGAAGGGGGCACACCCCACACTGGAGACACTGAGTTGGGAACATGAGGGGTAGCGTGTTCCAGGAAGCCCGAATACATGTATGGTGGTGAATGGTCACCCTCCAAGCCACAGGGTTACAGGGCAGTTTCCAGTCGCCTTTGCACCATGTTTACAGTTGTGTTTCCATGAGCACCAAAGCATTATTTGTTGGGCTTTTGTATTGGTTTGAGGAGTTATGCAAATTGCGTATGGCAAATAAAGACTAAAGGTGGAAAATGATGTCTGCCCTCTTTATTTCCAAGTTACCTATCAAGTGGCCTTGAAGACAGACTGAGGCTACCCCATCAACAGGATGCACTCACATGAGGCTTGCTGTCAAAAACTCTTAGGCCTTGTTTCCCACATCTAGGGAATTGGGTGGAGCCAATCACTACCTATTGTAATTGTTAAACAGCATCTGAAAGTATGGAACATGGCTTAGACAAACAAGTGGTGAATGTCTCGTCTCAGGAGCAAAGAATATTTATGGGCATGGATTGTTGGATTCTTCAAAGTCCCAAAGTATTGGGACAGTTCGTGGAGGTGATTGCAGGGGATATGGGGTACCCAGAATTCACATGAACAGAGGAGTTGAAATTCAACAACTTTTTGTGGATAACGTGGAGCAGTGGAGGTGAGGTGAGGTCTGAATTATTCTTACTCTTAATACTCATGGGACATGCGTGTCCAATGTAGTCTAAAACTCCTCCTTCAGGGCAGGCTGGGGTAGCAGCTTCTGTTTGTTCCCTGGTTTCCCAGATATTTTTTGTCTTTAAGAATAAATTTGGTGGTGCACACCTTTAATTTTAATCCACTCGTGAGATGGATGTCTGTGAGTTCAAGGCCAACCTGAGCCAGGGCTATGAGAGAGAGGGAGAGAGGGAGAGAGAGAGAGAGGGAGAGAGAGAGAGGGAGAGAGAGAGAGAGAGAGAGAGAGAGAGAGAGAGAGAGAGAGAGAGAGAGAGAATGAGAACAGGATTTCTGTCCTTTCTGTATCTATCTACTAGCTTTACTTTGGCATGAGCTCTGTTTATGCTAGGAACACATAGTAGTCATGTCCACAGTCAGCTGGCATGGCCAGCCTTAAAAGCTGATTTCACTTTCTGTACTATAGAACTGTGACCTCGGGGAGCTTGAGGAAGCCCCTTCCGGTCCGCTGTCTGAGTGACCCTGGCCCTAAAGCAAGGACTTCCTTGCTTTAGGAGGTGCTAGAGCTTAGCCAAGCCAAGGTAGTGCCTGGCTAGGAAGGGGCCGTAAGTGTGTGTTTTCCTTCTCAGATCTCTCTTCTGGTATGAGTTACTTCGCAGTCTTACAAAGCTTGAAGGTGGTGTAGGGTAGCAAGACCTCCTTGTGACCGCTTCTGAGGTTTAGCGTATGCACCCCTGTACTTCCAAAGATTGCCAAGGCTCCTCCTGTTCTGTCCTTTACAGATAGAATCAGCTTTTAGGTTTGATACTTTGATATTTCAGCGATGTTTTACTATCCTTATTTTTAATATGCTAAATACTTCACTGTTTTCATATAAATTTGTCCTTTTATTTTCTGTGTATAGGGTTAGAGGTTGACAGAATCATGTTGGGTGATCACCTGCACTCCCAGAATTGAGGAGATTGAGGCAGAAGGATCATAAGTTTGAATTAACAGGGGTACGTACATACTGAAATACTGCCCCTTTTTTTGAGTGACAAGATGTAAGGTTTGGTCGTGAGCTATAGAACTTTGACTATGTGTAGATGCGGAAGAATGAGTCAGTTATTTGAAACATTATTTCCTAACATCCTAAGTTAGCCTGCCAGGTTTTGTGCTACATTAGAATGAAGCATAGAAATGCTCGGATAGATTCTTGTTTTCCAAAATGTATGGTTTGTCTCACTGTGTCAAGATCCACCATGAGTGTCCATGATGGACAGTACTGCTTATACCCCAAGACAGTTGGCTTTGGGGGTTGTGGCAAGGTTTAGGGATGGGTAGTGCTGGTTCTGCTGGTGGCAGGCTCTGCAGGCAACACCCACGTCCCCTCACATCCACAAAGTATGCAGGAGCCGCCTGCTGTGCTCCGTGAACTTGTGTGGAACAGAAGCAAGGGTTGCAGTGGCGTATGATCGAGGTCATCTTTGCTCTGGACACTTGAAGGAAACATTAGGGGCATTGGAGCTTTGCTGACTTTCCTTCAGGAGTTATGTGGCTGACAGGACAACGTGTTTCATTTTACCATCAATAAACTGGGGCTGGGTTGTTACAAGTTCCGGAGAGATGAGTGGCTGAGGCAGGAGGAGCAGCCCTATTCCACAAACTGCCTGTGCACCTTGCCTAAGCACTCAGCTCCCCTTCCAGTTCCAGAAATGTATTCTTTGAGCTGCAGGTGTGTTGGAGAATCTGTTGTCTGAGGCCTTTTTAGGGCTATATACCCAGGAATGCCAAATATATTTAAAAAGAAATGCCTAGTGTTTGGCTGGGTATTTTTTCCCTCCCTTTGTTGGGAGAGCTTCTGCTTCAATTCTGATGAGCTCCAGAGAGGCGCTTGGGACAGGGTTCCAGGATTCTGGCTGCTGTGTCTGGCTGGATTCGACTGTCCCGGAACACACAACCATCACCTGTGTTGCTGAGACTCCACTGCAGTACCTGAAGCTCCTCAGTGCAGTGGGGTGGCTGTTTTGTGGTGCAGGACGTGAAGCATTTGATTTTGAGACAGTCAGACTCTTGATAAGTTGACCAGTTTACTATGTAACTCAGACAGATCTCTGGTCTCCTGTCACGTTCCCTTGAGCACTAGAATTACAGTCCCACACCACTGAACCTAGTGACATTGCAGATCTTTCTTTTATTATTGTTTTCTGAGGCAGGGTCTCATGTAGCCCAGGCTGGCTTCAAGCTTGGTACGTAGCTGTGGATAACCTTAGACTTCTGATCCTTCTGTGTCTGTCTCACGAGTGCGAGGATCACTGGATTGTGCACCATCAAACCCTGCACTTGCAAGGTTTTTTTTTTTTTAACTTTTTAAAAAAATTTATTATGTGTGCAGTTTTCTGACTGCATGTATCCCTGCAGGCCAGAGGAGGGCACCAGATCTCATTATAGATGGTTGTGAGCCACCAAATGGTTGCTTGGAATTGAACTCTGGACCTCTGGAAGAGCAGTCAGTGCTCTGGGCCATCTTTCTAGCCCCCCACTTGCAAGTTTTTTAATAAATACTTTTTTTAAATTCGTGCGCATGTGCGTGTATGGGGTATGTGTGAACCATGTGCTTACAGAGGCCAAAAGAAGGTGCCAGATCCTGTGGAGCTGTAACTCCAGGCAACTCTGGGTGCTGGGAACTGAACTTAGGTCTTCTGGAAGTGCAATACACACTCTTAGCCAATGAGCCATCTCTGCAGCTTCCCTTGCAGGTTTTAAACATGTGTACAGATAGTACAAAGCAGTGAATACTCAAAATTTCTCTGGACGGTTCTAGAACATTCTAGGTAGGCCTAAATGAACAGGATGGTGGTTTCATACTGTATACCATTCTTGTAACTGCAGTCCCCAGAAATGGACTTTGTGTTACTTCTTTTGATTCAGGTTGGCTTGATTTTCTCCTGTTACTTTTTCAGCAGTAAGCTGACAACTTACCTTTCCGTGTTCATCATTCACTGCACAGAAACCAGGGAGTAAATCATTTGTAGCTCACTCTGTGACTGTCTTACAAGTTGTGCTTGTGGGTGCACATTGACCGATCTGAGGCCTTGACACCTGTCTTTCTCCCATGAGCCTTGGAGAAATACTGTAAGAGTCTGAGTTTGGTTTACATGAGCAAATAAGACCAGCTGACCTGAGAGGCAATGACACCACCGACTCTGCCACCATTTTCACTGTCTTTGATGATCCCAAAGTGACATCCCCAAGCACAGCAATGAAAGGTCCCCTGAGAACTGCATAGCACGGTGATATCCTGTGTGAATTTTCCATATCCCTTTCAGGTCCTAAGGGCATGGCTATCCACCTTCCAAACCTACCCACTGGTGAAGTTGTCACTGGAGCCTGCAGAGTATTCGACTTGGATGTACTTCTTTCTGTATTCTACAGAGAACACAGGCAGCTTATTTTGACTTGGGGGTTGTTAACAACTATTTCC